AAAGCAATTGTGTCGATCGACGCGTCGCTGTAGATCGTGAGGATCGAGCCTATCCTCTCATGGCTCGAATCCAAAGCGATTCATCGATCGCCTGCACGAATCCATCAACAAAACACACAGAATCCAATCCAAACAACAGCAAACAATCATATTCCATCAATTCCTTTACCCAGATAAACCATGGTCACGCACTCACCTTAGGAAAAACGGTTATAACACGCGTTTCAAATTTCAGATTAAACCGAACTCGGTGGCTCTGGAAAGCTAAGACTCGGGGCTTTCCAATGATACCTAGATCATCTTTTGGGTCCTTACAGAACGACAGGAAAACAGCCCGCAAGTTCATTGTTCGGACCTAGAAACAGGAAATTTCAGTCTCAGAAATCATGAACGACACGTTGACATCTAAAAAACACAGAGAACGGAGATTACATCGAAACAAGATCGAAAACCTGTTCTGAAAACTAGACAGAGAGAGCTTTCCACAGATAGGCGGATCGTCTCCTAAGTCCTTCTGGTTCGACGAGAATCCTCCCTCGAAATGGACTGATCGCAGACCCAAAATTGCAGAAACAACTCTTAGTAAAACAATGATAACTCTCGGAATACTAATCCAAATGACAAACTGATTTTGCCCAAAGCTATATACGAGAGTGGAAAACTAACACTAGTAGTTTCGCTCCAATCCGATCCGATCTTTCCAGCCGTTCGTCTCTCCTTCTAAAATCGGACAGAACTATTTTCAAAGTAACAATCTCTTCTTCTCTCTCACAACCTACGAAATCCTCTCCTTTTCCTCTCCAAAATCGGCTGCAAAAACGTCTCCATGCATTTTTATATCATGCCCTAGGGTTCCCTAAACCAGACGCCAAACCAAGCGATTAAGAACCGAACTTGTCGATTCGATTTCAACTTGCGTCGATCGACGCACAACACTTGTGTCGATCGACGCAACACCCAGAACCTGACTCCTCGCGAGTCCAAATACGTGTGTCGATCGACACACACACTGTGTCGATCGAAGCACCACCAGAAATACACATTTTGGTTCACGGGCGTTACACCTCCAACTTTCCCAAAGCAATGTTCAACTACTTCTTGGATGGCTCTTGGAAAGATGGGTTTTACAACTCCAAGACGACACTACAATTATATGATACGAGGAATGCGAAGAGGTATATCCCCTTTGCACACATAGATACATGGTTTACTATAGGTTATGGATAGCCTATGCAGGAAGCATCGTTACTGCTCGTCACAGATTCAAAGTTACTGGTCGCCATAGTGTCTAACCCAGAGGATTGGCCTCGGTTTAAACCATAATTGGATGAGTTCAAGGAGCTACAGAAGTCATTTCGGAGTTCGCCTTAGTGCACTGCTCCAAAGAAAAAAAAATGTACAAGCAAATTTACTAGCTCGGAATGATAGATAAAAAAATCAGTTTTCTCTACTATTGGTACTTCGGTTCCTTATTGGTTACCGGATACATTTGTATGTGATTGATCAATAAACAAAATACATTTGTGACAAAAAAACAAAATGAATAATAACTATAATATATGTAATTGCGAAAATAAATAATTTGTATTCCATAATAGTTTTGAAAAAACTTACAAGAAAATAAAATATATGTAATTCCAAAAGTAAACAATTTTAAAACAAAACTTACAAGAAATTATAAATAAAATATATGTAATTTCAAAAATAAATAAATTTTATTCGATAATAGTTGTCAAAAATTACACGAAACAATATGTCATTTGTATAATAATAATAATTGACATATAAATATTTTTTATTATTTATATATGCACGTTAAAAGAATTTTAGTATAAAATAGAATGAGAAAATATAGTACAGCTTTTCTCAAATAAAAAGAAAATATAGTATAGTGAGAATAGGAAAGAAAAAAAGATAATTGCAATTGTACACATTTACAAAAATGCCACTATGGATTGTCTTTTTTTTTGTCACAAACACACTTCATTATCAGTTACACAAATACATTGTATGTATCAGTAAACCAATATGGAACAGAAGTGCCAATGAAGGAGAAGATAGTATTTCGCCCTCTTGTTGTACTCTCGTTGCCGGTAGATGAGTTCGAATTCCGGGAAAGATTCTCGAAGGTCTGCCAATTCACACAATTCTGGTTGGAAACCAAACCAGTCGTGTAGATTTGCTACCATCTTCACTAACTCTGTAGAGTCGGTGAGAAACGTAGAGCAAAACCGTCGTTTCCGGATTAAATATTGCATTGTCCAAAGAAGGCTATGAAGCTCTGTGTGTAGAGGTGAGAGATTGCGGTAGTTTCCCTGGAGTCCCAGGAGGTCCATTGTGCCATCGTGTAATTGTAAAATCCAGCCCACTCCGCTTGTACAGCCATCAGCTGTCCACGCCCTGTCGATCGAGCATGTGAAGATATCCTGCGGCCTAGGTGGTCCAGGAGGGGGATGCGTTGGGATTACTTGGCTAGCGATGTTGGCCTCAAACCATTCTTTAGATTCTTTGGTCGCTAAGGCAACG